GGCTCGAGCCGCTCGAGCACCTGCCCCTTCCACAACACGTTGTCGACGAGGAGGAGCCCGTCCGGCGCGAGCAGGCGCCGCGAGACGAGCAGGTCGTAGTACTCCCACGTTCTCTTCTTGTCGGCGTCGACAAAGATGAGGTCGAAGGGCGGCTCGCCCTCGGGCAGCGCCCGCAGCGCCTCGAGCGCGTCGCCCAGCCGCACTTCGACGCGCGAGCCGACGCCGGCCGCGTCGAGGTGCCTCCGCGCCACTGCCGCCGCCCGCTCGTCGCGCTCGAGGCTGAGCAGCGAGCCGCCCTCCGGCAGGGCGAGGCCCATCCACAGCGCCGCGTACCCGCTGAAGCAGCCGACCTCGAGGACGCGCCTCGCCCGGGAGAGGCGCACCAGCATGTGCAGCAGCCGGCCCTGCTGCGCGCCGCTCACCATGTGGGCACCGCCCGGCCAGCGCTGCTGCGTCTCGTCTCGCAGCGCCTCAAAGCAGGCCGGCTCACTCGAGGTGAGGTGCTCGGCGATGTCGACTGGCGAATGCCAGCCCGCGCGCCTGCACGGCGGTGTGGCGCGAGGGGAGACGGCGATGAGCGTGGTGCTCGCCACGGAGATGAGCCGCGCAAGCAGCATAGAGGGATTCTACGCTGGCACGGCGTCTCGCTCTCGATGGCCGCGAGCGGCCACTGCTGGGACGCAACAAAAAAGAATTTTACAATCACAAATATGTAGAAAAAAGGAACGCAAAGCCAGCGCCACAATTAGACGATTTGACTCATTGTCATTCTACTAACATTGAACACATTTGTTTGGTATTGATAGCGATCTCTCTCTCTTGAACAGCATGCTCTGCAATTTGAGTCCAAGATGCAAGATGGCGGAGAAGAGATCTAATTTGGCAGCCACAGCGGCGAATATCTTATGCCTCGTAGCGAGGGGCGCACCGGGTGCGCCAAGCGCGCTGGCCGAGCTCTGCGCGTGCGGTCTGGCAAGAGGCCTCGAGCAAGCGGCCTTGCCGCGCCTCACATGAGGGTGCGTCCGAGGAAGGTTTGCGTGAGCTGCTCGAGGACGAGGTAGTTGAGGAGGTTGAAGGGCGCCTGCGCGGGGCGGTGGGGGGCGGCGAGGTCGCGGCCAGGGGCAGGGGGCGAGAGGGGCCGCGCGAGGGAGGCTTTGCGGTGGCTCGCCTGCCGCAAGTACACGGGGAGGAGCCCCTTCCAGAGGGCGAGCACCCCCTCCACCCGCACGATGGAGACGAAGCAGTCCGAGACGGAGCGGTACAGCCGCTTGCCCTCGTGCTGGTTCATCAGCCGGGTCTTGACGACATCGAACGGGCAGCCGACCAGGGCGGTGACGACGCCGCCTGCGCCAGCGCGCCGCCCGCTCAGCCGGCCGGGCGACGGGCGAGTGGGCGGGCGGGCGGGCGGGCTGGCGCGAGTGTGCTGGCGCCGAGTGGGAAGGCGCGACTGCTGCTGGGGGCCGTGCACCCATCAGCGCCGCCAGGCACCGAGCGCGGAGCGAGTCGTCCTCGCCCATCAGCCGCGTGACGGTCTGCTTGCACTGGTCGTAGGTCGCGATCCCGGCGCCGTTGACGACCGCCGCGCGCTGCATGTTCGGGCCGACCCCCTTCCAAAAGGCGGCGAGCCCCTCCTGCAGCCGCCAGCGAGGGGGGGGAGGCGGATCGGGGCGCGTGCCTCGGGGTCGCCGCCACTCTCCGCCCACGCCGCCGCAACCCATCCCCCTCCACCGCACCTGCGCGAGGATGGCGCGGAACGCCTGCGCCGTGCCGCTGTACCGCGCAGGCTCGCCAAGCAGGCGCAGCCGCCCGTCCGCCTGGATCCGAACTTTGACCACGTCCGTCGGGTTGGCGAGCGCGCTCGCTGTGCCCCCCGCCAGCGCGCCCGCCGCCAGCTTGGACGCCAGCGGTGCGTGCTTCCCGTCGCTGTGAGGGTTGAGCTTGTCGCGCAGCGCCGGGTACGATGCAAAGCAGAGGCCGCCGTAGCTCGCCTGCCGCATCATCGCAGCCGGAAGGCCGTCGAAAAAGGTGAGAACGCCCTCGGTGCGCAGCACACGCGCTGCCATCGAGAACACGCCCAGCCGTGGCGCTCCCGAAGCGACGAGCTCGTTCTGCAGCTGCATCCGCGTCTTGAGGAAGTCGAGAGGCAGGCAGAGGCCGTCGGCGATGCAGCAGGCGCTCGAGGCGCACCCGAGCTGGATGACCGCCGTCGGTAGCTGGAGCACCGGCCGCGCGGCGGCGCCCGTGGTGGCCGCCTGCCCAGCCGACATGGTGCCTGTGGTGGCCGCCTCCAGATGTTGTTCTCTCCGACAGGGGCCCGACCGCGCCGTTTTGCAGTTAGAGAGCTGTGAGATTCCGCGAAGTTTGTTTTTCTTTTTACGAGATTCGGGAAAATCGAAAGGATGGTTTATTTCGCGTGGAGACACGGCGGACGTGTATGGGCTACGAATACGGTTGAACCCTCGGGTGTTAATTGTGCGTCTTGGGTCCGGGCTTGTGTTTTTGTTTTTGTGTGTGAGGGCACTACACTCAGGCCCCAAATGACGTGTGAGTGTTAGAGTTGTTTGGTATTGCTACAACTCTCAACAACAAAACAAAATGTTTGGTATTGCTAAAAATCTCAACTCTCTCTCTCAGTCTCTCTCTCTGAATGTGGACGGTGGGGACCCGGTGTGTGAGAGACATTTTTAGAAGCCAACAAGAAATGTGGCACACACAGTGATTTGGGCTTGCTGTGTGTGCGGTGCTTGCACTGACGGCAAGAAACGCACGAAGGGCGCATCTACAAGTACAGTTGTAGGGGCCTCGGCGCGAGGTGTGTCCGGTGGTGTTTTTCCGCGCCCCAAGGCGCGCGACTACACGTCCGTGGAGCGAGCTGCGCGACAAGTCGGCCTTGCAGGCCGCGCGTGAGCAGCTGGACGCGACCTTGGCATGGAGGACGACCTTTTGAACCAGATGATCAGCCGGATGAGTGCCGAGAGCGGCATGCCGCCGAAGGCGCTGATGCAGAGACGTTGTGTTGGCTTCTAAAAATCTCTCTCTGATGCAGCAACTCATGAACGACCCAGAGGCGCTGCAGGCGTTTGCTCGGGATTCGCCTGTGCAGAACCCACCTGCTCCACATGAGTCTGAAAAGCGTGCAGAAGGCAACGCAAAATTCAAGTCGGGCGACTTGGAAGGCGCAATTGCAGCTTACGAGAAGGCGCTTGAGGATCCGGAGGAGGATCGATTGCCACTGCTCTCAAACGTTGGTCTCTGCCACCTAAAGCGGAAAGAGCCAGCCAAGGCGCTTGCGTTCCTTCGCGAAGCGATGACGCTGACGGTGCGGCTTCACGCGTCACCAAAGATCGCCACGAAAGCAGCCGCGCGGCGATACGAGGCTGAAGTCTCACTCGGTGACATCGCTGCTATGCGTGCTGCGCTGGCCGACTTGCGCTATTACACGCGCCAACCTGGCGGCAGCGTCACAGGCCTGTCCAACATTCCCGACGCACCAGCCGAAGAGAAGGCATTGCAGCTAATCGTCGCGATTGTCAATGGTCAGCAGAACGACAGCGGCCTCTGGCAGATTGAGCGTTTGCTCGAGGGTGTGCCGGCCGAAGCCTGCGACAAGCATGGCAACAACCCACTCAGCCTCTCCGTCGAAGTCGCCTGTGCAACCACTGATCGCGGAAGCAGCTTTGGCTTCAAGCTGGTGCAGATGCTGCTGAAAGCCGGCACACCTCCCGACGTACGCCAGTCAGGCGGAAAGACGCCGCTGATGGCGGCCGCCAACAAGGGTCGCGCGGACATTTGTGGCCTGCTCCTGAAGGCAGGCGCGAGTGCGACGGCGACGGATCGTGAGGGCTTCTCACCGCTGCACACCGCATGTGTCGACCT